AATTTCCCCTTAAATTCTGGATGGGAATTTATACGTTCAAATGATAAGTATTGAAAATGTTATGTCAGCAGGAGAATGTTTTTATGGTTATCAAGTTTTAAACATTAAATGCTTTTCCGTGTCTTGTTGACCTGTTACCTAACTTCAAAGAGCTGATCATTTCAGGTTTTAATACTGAGTCTACTTAATTTTAGGATCCCAAGAAACTACTGCCTCGTGTAATGTTGATGTACTTGTGGTACTTTTAGAAAAGAAACATGCAGTTTATTTTTACCTTGCCATCTGGAACAGTGTCATCAAATATTCCCTCTAAAGATTTCTTTACAGCGTCAGTTCCCTCACCAAACACCTGCATATACAAAGTAGCGTGTTAAGAAATCTCGGCAAAAGGGCAAACGAAACACGGGGAGGGGAACGGAAAATGGGCATGCCTATTAGAAACATCATGGAAGTTTGCACATCCGCCTACATCAAATCCTAACGCAGGTAAAATAATGCTCGGTAATAGGCCATGAAAAAACATGTTTTCTCTATCTAGATCACTCCCCACGTCTTTGACAATTGAAAAAAAAAGTTTGCTGTTAGATCTGAATCATTCACCTAAATTTAAAGAAAATAAACGTGTAAAAGCAATGAATTAGATTCGTGCACAATGAAGAATTTCTGCTACAGACACATATCTGACCGGATAGCTATCGATAATCATCAGTTAGCCTTTCAAAACTCTGTTCAGTAGAAACTGAGACTGTACATTTGTATTTTCAACCACAACACTACAGGAAAGTTTTTTAAATATTTAAAATAGAAATTCGTCTATTCTTTGAAATTTAATAAATCCTCCTAACTTAAAGATATGACTAAAATCATAACAGGTGAACGATGCTACTAGGTAGTCAAAACCTAAACACATGGACATGATCAATTTTATATATCGGCTCTTAGTGAGCATGTACTGTCAGGGTAATAGACACAATTAAGAAAAAGCCTTTGCCCCAATGCAAATGAGATTAAAAAACTGTACAATTTTTGTCCATTTCAAAGGACTGAATGAAGTAAATTTCTATTGATATGCTTATGACTAAGCAAGAAGTTTTTTTCCCCCCTACTCACTTTATGAGAGAATAACAAGAATTGCTTAAGAGATAGTACATTGTCCTTTGACTTTTAAAAAGTGTGAAAACATTCTCTTGGATTCATTTAAATTCAGTCATCTATTTCAGCAGCCATGAGCTGTGATACAACCTGGCACCTACAGAGTGGAAGCACATGAAGTGAGGCTTTGGATGGAAGAGAAGTTGAAACCTAGTTGCCAACTGTGGAGCCCTGACGTACATTTACAGCAGTGGTCTGAGTCAGCTGCAATGACAGAGGATGCATACCAAATGACACCACCATCTCCCAAAAGGAGGGGAGAAAAGCGATAGTTAACATCCTTTCTCAGGTGTAATCAAGGGCCATCAAGTCTCTTGTGTGACTTATCTAATGAAATACTGACTTTCCTCCAAACAGTTTCTTCTTCAGATTTACACAGAAGCAGAACCCATGGTTGCAAATTTGATGTTCTACTCTCCCCAAAGACCACAGAACAAACTCCGAGACCGCTCAGCTGCAGGTTCTCTTCTCATTTGCTCATCTCCTTCAAGTCCCATCAAGGACACAGGCACCCCAGGTCTAAAGGAGTGTGGTGGTCAGCAAATGATTTAGTACATCAGTTTTCAGAATTCAATTCTCTTCTACATCTCAGTCCTTAAGTAAACAAATGGCTGGAATTGTCAGAGCAGATAATAAGGGATCTTTTTATCGAGTCAGTCAATTGACTTCTTCTCACTTTGCAGACGGGCTCAGAGCAAACAGGTCAAATTGGTTGTCCTTGTCATGACCTCAAAAATGCTGGAGGCCTCACTTTCCAGCCACTGAAGCCCATGTATCGGATATACTTCTTCTCCCGAAAGAGCAAATACCCATGTTCCTTCAGTCCCTAAAAGCTGAAGCAGTTCTGGAGCAAACTCGCTTCTCAGAGCCAAAGAAGAATGACGACAACAACAATGGAGAGAGTGTTCCCTGGAAGTCACTCCAGCAGGAAAGTGGCCTTGGCTAGTAAAGGAGTAAAATTAATGAGGTTGTGGCATAGTTACTGGAGGCGCGACACCGCACCGCTGTCGGTGGTGCCGCTCAGGAGGTTCCGAGGTCCCTTCAGGCCGTATCTAGTACCGGGCTAGAAGAGTCGTGGCACTGCGTGAGCATGCTCAGATTCCTGCTTCCTCAGAGCAGTAGGTGCAGGGCTGCTGCTTAATGTCAACCCCAAAAAGTCAAGGGCAAAGAAACAGAACTCCCCGGAGGCTGCCTTTGATCCAGTGCCAGAGGCAGCTTAAAAGTCTCTATGTTCAGGTGCCCACTTGGCTTCCTCACCAAGTCCTGCTTTTTTCGGAAGATTCCGGATACAATCGTGCACTTTGAGTAGGTCTGTAATTAACCAGGGTTTGGGAAGGATGCAGGTGGGGGACTGGAACTTGGTGATAGACTAATAGCAGAGTTCAATGTTAGGGGTAGACGTTATCTATTAAAAGCATCCACCACAGCTAACATCTTCGTGTCAACTAGTTGGTTTTAAATAACACTGAGTGTCAATGAAGAAGCACGCGCACACACACTCGCTCACATCCGAAAGCGAGGTGTCCGTGGAAGCAACCTGTGCCTGCTTTTTCATCCGCCCTGGAACCTACCTGATTGATGCTGGGGCGTCCCTGTTTCTTTTTGGAGGTAGTGTCCAGACCCCAAAGGGAAGAAAACCTGCTCCTCCGTTTGCTTGTGGACCTGGACATGGCCTGAGTACGCCGCCTGACTCCAGTTTCACCAGTGCGAGCTGCCACCTGAGGACAGCAAGGCAGAACATCAACAAGAGACGTGTCAGGACCGCTCACCTGTTCTTCAAGGACCCCTAAGTCTCAGCCTTAGTACATACACAGGACTTGGAGGGCCCGTCCGGGATTCAAAACACAAATGAAAGATCATGAAACTCAATCCTTGTCTGAAATCATCAGTAAAATTACATAAAATAGTAATAGAATATATATGTGATGTTTCTAAGAACTATTGGGTTGTCGGAAAAGTCATGACACATTTTTGCAACGAGAAACATAGAAAAATACGTCATGACTTTTCCGATGACCCAATAGATATCCTTCTAGTCACAGACTTAAACTCTTGCATCCAGTTATCAAGTTAAACTAACGATCCTTTCTTGAGATGCTCCCTCAAGAGCTACAAGGCTGCTTCTTCACGCTAATGAAAAAATGGCGCCTGAATGTCAGCACAAATAGTGAAACAACGCATTTTGGTTCCTCCGATTCTATACTAAATCTAAATTTACCAATCTCTCCTCCTTTGTTTTCTCAAAATTCCAGAAAACCATTTTCCTTATTAGGGAAGTAACAGTTGTCCTCCAATATCATTCTTCCTTCTGCCCCAGTCATAGAAACCCCAAATGTAGCTGAGCGTATACGGCCACACAACGTTGACTTATTTTCCATGAGCTTGTGACTACGTTCTGGTCAACGGGAAGTAAGTAAAAGGTTTATTTGCGATTCTAGAAATCATCCTCAAAAAAGAGGTGGTTTTCCATGATCATTCACTTTCCTCCTTTCTGATGACAGGAAGGGCCATATGTTAGCTGGTCTAAGACATCCGGATAGAAGCCTTTTCAAGGATGGCAGAACAAGACAGATGAAGATGGTGACGCCACCTCACTAGCCTTGCATCCTCCATGTTTAGGTGAACGAAAAATAAAAATTATATTTTGTTAAAAAAAAAAAAGATGCTAAACTCCATGAAGATATTTGCAAGGTGCCAGCAATCTAGACACCACTCCACATGTAAATCTGTGATAACTGCTCCAGTAGATGCTGAATCTCTGTGAGGACGCCATAAAGTGCTTCCCACGCAAACACGCAGGTTTGAACTTTATCCTACAGGTTGCAAAGTCCCAGGAACTTAAGGGAACTTCTGCCAGGACTTCGCAATAGGCCACCCATGGGCTCTCCTTTCCAAAAAAGGGAGTGCCAGGAGGTGTAGCCAGTCAGACTTGAAATGAAACTTCCCCACCCGCTCTTTGTTGCTGGGGGTGAATCTCTCGGAGCCTACTTGTCACAGATTCCCACACAGGCAACTCCCAACGTGATGGCTGCCAACTGGCAGCATTCTCGGGGATGAAACACTGCTGGGTACACAAGGGGCCTCTCCAGCCGTCGGCACGTTGGTTAGAAGGCACGCCTCTAGGGGATTTTCAGGATGAACAGGGTAAACACCCTGGAAGCCCCATGAGTAGGCTGGCAAAGACCCCCATGTACATTAAAAACAGGAATCAAAACAGTTTTTCTGCAAGGGTATTAGCGGGAAGGTTTTTGTCCCAAAGGGAAATTGGCAGGTGAGGGAGCTGAGAGGTCTTGTATTTTCTCAGCTAAGCACATAAGAAGACCCAGATCAAGGCATGTACGAATGCGGCACGCAGACAATGGTGGGAAAGCTCTGTGAGACAGAGCTGTAATCTGCAATTATACTCAAGGTGTTGTGGGGAACAAAAATCACGAAACAAAAGGTACATGTTTACATTAACCATGCAAGCGTTTTCTCTTCTCTATTTTCATCACTCTCTAAGTTAAACATAAACAAAGGCTGTAGAAGAGAGAAATGTAATGTGCTGACATACATATGTGCTCCCACGGCTGTGTCGGCTTCAGTTAAGCCAATCGTCATAAAGTGAGACCAAGAGCCATTGCATAAATGGTGCTAAAGTTAAAAATCCTAGAGAAAAAAAATGCCCATTTGGTCCCACAGCTATACATCTATTTATAAATAGATGAATCAACCCATAAATAGATATACATATGCAATATATACAGGCAACCACATATACAGAGGGTGCCCCCCAAAAACGATACACATTTTAAGAAAGAAACAAACTGTATTAAAATTGTAATGCTCAATACATACCGATAACAAAAGATGAATACAAGTCATGTGCATACATTTTTTTGGCAAGCCCCTCCCGGCACCTCCAGTATATGTCAATATATATCACTCTGTTTACTTTCTTCATAGTACATATCAATCAATATCTGTATTTATTGTGCTTATTTAATTGCTTATTTATTATCCATCTCTCCTACAAGAATATAAGATTTATATTATATTGTATTATATTATATTATATATAAAAATATAAAAAAAGAACTCTGGGCTGTTTGCTGCCATAACCCTAATCACGAGGATAGTAACTGACACAAGCCAAACACTCACATATATGTGCTGGTTGAATGAATAAATAAATAAACATCAAAAGCAAAAGCAGAAATCCTATATAACAGGGTTACAACAATGAAACAGTAACTCTTTAGTTTACAATTTTAGAAAAACAGACTGGAAGAGGATCTCAAACAACCATAAATATTCTCAGTTACCAGCTGACCTGTTAGTCTGCTTAACAAATGGGCACGTTATTGAAGGTTTGTATAGTAACTATCCTAAACTGTTGGGGGCCTTGTAAACTGCAAATGGAACTGCTACCCCCAAGACAATAATGAAATGACTCAAAATGAGCAAAGGGATTTAGAAGAAAAAAAAAGGCTGGCAAAGAGCTCAAGAGTTTCTCAATGATCTTTGCCTGCACAATACCTCCCTTTGTGGCTGGAACCTGATTACTCTATCATTCTGCTCATCTGTGCAAACACGAACAATGATAACCTTCTTTCAAAGAGTACAGCGGGGACCCTTCAGTTAATTACTGCAAATCACTGAGCATCATGGGAAGCCCTCCTGGTGAATGGTACTTAAATTGTAGCTCAAATCTCCTCCCCCAGCCCTGTAGCCCTCACACCTCCTCTTCCCATGCCCCTCACTTAAAATGAGGGGTGGGGGTGGGGAATGTCTACACAACGGCTAAATTGAAGAATGTTTAAAACCCCAGGGGAAAAAATTCCCTGGGGTCAAATGACAAGGAGAGGAGGAAAAAAATAAATATCCAATAAATCAGACTGTAAAATACCCTGGCCTGGGCTCTCCCTCCTACAGGCGCTGGAGGAACCAACAGGAACGGATACCCAGCAGGCTTGCCTAACTTGTTCTGTCTGAAATGAAACCCCTCCAGGAAAAGAGAAGTTTGCAAGGACACACAGACAACACAGATTTGCGACACTGATGCAGCTAACACAACAACAGCAGAAGAACAGAGAGCTGTCCATCTGGAATTAACTGTTCTTTAAAATGACTGACCAAAAAACCTAAAAGCGTTACTAACCCCTCCACCCGTCTTCACATGGCCAGGACACACAAATCACAGATCTTGAGATAGAGGAAACAGGAAGGTCTGAAGACAAATTCTGGAAGGGTAATACCGTGGCTTTTCCTTCCCCTTCTCAGAGAGGTTAGTTCCAATGGCTTTGAAGGAAATAATTAAAGCATACAAGTTTTAGGTAGACAGCAAAATTATTTTCTCCAAAATCTATCAAGCCCAGTAAGAGGAAAGAGCCACGTGCTCTAGATTTAGTATTAACCTGACACCATTTCACTGGCATCATGAGCTGCCTTAATAAAAATGCTCCATCAATGTATGACGTTCTTACAAGGAGGTAAATTAGAATTTTTATCCCAATATTTTTGCAGAATAAATAGGCAAACTGAGATTTGTCTAAGTTACAAATTCGTGTCCAGGTCTGACAGAAACAGTCCTAGAGCCACAAACTGAAAACAATTTGCAAGATTTATTTATCACAGCACTTTGGCCCATCAGCACTAAAAAAAAACAAAACCAGGACTGGATAGCTATATGGAGGTGGTAGCCAAGGAGACCAAGAGCGGAGCTGTAATTAGCAGAACAAATCAGGATGCCAGTTTTAATAACTCCAGAAATTGGTTTAAGACTTCTTTAAAAATGTAAATCTACGCTAATTATCTGAATGATGATGCTAATCTATTTATAAAGAACACAAATGCCTCTGACTGAATTATAGCTCTGAATTCAATTGAAGGGTCCAGCTGACATGGCAAACCAAGAGCAGCAAGGCTAAGGTTTTCAGAAGCAGTTTCTGGAACCTGAGACTTTACATTTAATTCCACAGCAAGTGTACTACGGCGCAGTACATTTTAAGTGGGTGTTGACTTGGATACAGGAAAGCCATATTCCTCACATAGCAATTTTTGAGAAGAAAGGAGCCAAAGGTAGATAAAGCTGTTCGCAATTTAGCAAGTACATGAAATTACAGATTACAAGCACAGAACACAGCTGTACAATGTGCCGCTCTGGGGGTCAGGTGGAAATTCTCTTTCCCAAGCAAATACATTCTTTGGGCTGGTAAGTCACCGGAGGACTTTGTTTTCCTTTAATGCATTAAGTATTGATGGCCATGAAAATAAACTAAAAAGGGAAATCTCCAAAGAGATCTGTGTTTAATATTTACTATACGTGTGTGTGTGTGTGTGTGTGTGTGTG